TCACCTTGTGCTGCAAGGCTGCATATGTACAGCCCTCAGCAGACTGCGTGTTAGGTATTCTTTTGTTCAACAAAACCGGCAATAACTCAAAGAATACCTATGTTATCAGTCGGTCGGAACTCACTGCAAATAGAGGTGCCATGCTCCACTCTTTTAATTGGGTCTATCACTAAACAAAGTATATGCCTTGTGTTACAACAAAATGCAAAAATTGGTTTTGGGGGCAATTATAAACTTTTGAGTGTTGTTGCCAAACTGGATGGAAAATAAATACGATGGTAATGCCAATGCGCCAATAAGGTGCGCAGTCTCGCGCGTCTTGCTGTTAAGATTTCCGAGTGACCGATAGCATAGCATCCGCGTTATTATCGGTTTTGTCGAGAAAAGAATACCTACCACGCAGTTTGCAGAGGGCTGTACCTGATTTTTCACATTATCAAACATTATATGTTTTATTGAAACACTGATGTAAATTCAGGATATGAAGATATTTGTAACAAAAGAGATTTGGTGCAGATTTCGCCAAGCATGGTGCGTTCGCCAGATAATCCGACGTGAAAACAGCTGTTATAGCCTCGAACTAACTCTTACGTAACCGCTTAATTACTTACATATTCGTTAATTACAGATGTTTTGTGTGCTTAATTATTTGTACGCAACTCTTAGCTGTATTACTTACTGTAGGTAGCTGCAAACTGTACCCGAATCTGCTGTAAAAAGAGAATTATTGACCTGTCAATCGTAGCATCTCAGACTCAGTCACAGCAACATGACCACAAATATAAAGCTTATCGTCGTCCTTGCTTTCCCACGAAACGCTTAGACATGCGACACACGTTTCTAATAGTCCCAATTTTCACCTCCTCAGGCCAAGCCCTCGCCGCACTGTTGCCGATGGGCGTGTCTCCGGACAGTGACGGTCGGAGTCATTACGTTCATTAGTCGGTGCCGTGGAGTGGTTACATTTGTATGCACGCGCTGGCGGCACTGTGCGGGGCTCGGTCCGTCTCGTCTGTGTCTCGGACGGACCGAGCGGACCACCCGCCGAGCAGGAATGGCCGGGGAGGACAGGACAGGTCCTCCCTCCGACCCGACCCGGCGCTCTTTCCCGGAGCAGGCCGATCCTCAGTGTGAGCTACAGCTTCATTCGGTCGAGGACGGTTACAAATTATGTTTTCCACTAGGCCTATGATTTTCCTCATTAGGCGACGCAAGGGACGGTGTGTGTGGCTTATCCGAGACCCGACCCGGCTCAAGGCCGTTTTATCGGCCGCTATTTGCTGATGGGAATAGGAGTTCCGAGGGAAAATTGCTGTCCAATAAAGATGATCAATGGTTAGTCCTCGGACGGATAAGCGGCGATATCCCGCAGGCGAGGAAGAAAGTGTTATTAGCTTATTGAATACGAAGGGTACTCGGTTCGCCGCAGGCAAGGCGCGCATTTCAGAAACTGGCCGAAGATTTACATGAATGCCGGACCAAGCCTTCCGGGTTGAATGGTGCCGTTCAAAGGAACGAGTCAAGGCGTTCGAAGGAGGAGAAGCGATTCGAGATAAATAACCCTATTTTGACCCACGCTTCTTTTCGAAAGCTGGCAGTATAAAACATCAATTCAATCGGAGCCCCCAAGCTGAAGAAGAGAATATGCCGCAGCGCGGTGTTCAAAAGATGATTTTTGATTGACGATCCTGCCTTTTTTATTTTGCGAGGTTGGAATACACGAGCTATTTATCTAACCAGTCGTCAGTCGAATCAAAATAATACCTATTGTAGAGTTTTGACATGAATAAGATGATGAAGCTTTTTACTACCAATTACTTATTTGGCAATGTATTATGCTTTTCGTGTTTCTGTTACAATCCCGAAAGTGATGTGTAATATAATATGTTACGCATCGTAGTTGAAACTTGCTTAGGTGACACTTCAATCATCCTCATCATTATTGTGAATTTTACTCATTACAGAAGCACTCCGTCTCTTCTTAGAATCTTGCTCGGCGACAGCTAAAGCACCACTCCCCCACACACTAATATTCGACGAATGGGCACTCACAGACACTCCCACACATCACTCCAGTGAGTGCCGGCGCGGCGAGTGTTCGCACGGTGGAAAGGATGTCATTAGGCTTCCACTCGAGAGTTTGCCTTTTAATGTAAAATGCAGATCGTTGGAGCTATTTTGAGCTCACCAGCCACACTGTGTCAGACAATTACTGAAGTCGGCATTTTAGCTGGCCGGAAACGGTGTATTTTCGGACAGAGGAGATTTTCCGAGACGAGATATTTCGAGTTAAGAGAGATTTATGGAGTGCTACATGGGGAGAAGTGTAGGAAAAAAACTACGAAACAGCACAGTGTGATGAATTTGTTCCTGTGTAATCGACCCCGTTTATCGCCTCCTCGCCGCGCCGCTCGCCGTCGCCGCAGTACACAGATGTGTGAGGAGCAGTCGGCGTCCGGTGGGCGGGACAGACCCCGCCGCAGCTGTCACCGCGTCCCAGTATCACCCATCACCCACCCACCGTCCCACCGCACCGCGACCTCCCCCGTCCCGTGGCTGTCCCGCGGCTGCTGGCTGCTCCTCCCCACCCGCCGCGGTCGCGCCCGCCCCGCCCGGCCCGGCGTCATTAGAGATTAATTAGGACCGCAGCCATTAGTACACCCCTTCCGCGTCGGCTCCCGGTCAGCACAGGGCCAGGCCGGCCGCCGGGTCGGGTCGGCCGAGCACCTGTCGGACGGCGCTATTGTCACGGCCGGGACCCAGGAATTCGATGTCATCTACGGCCAGTGGCCAAGGTGAAAGGATGGAGCGGCGCCGCCGGCGGGGGCCCAACCCGCTCGGACCGGAGAGCACAGAACGGAGATACGGCGCCGCCATAAAGCACGCAGCGTGTGGAAAATGGCCCAACAATAGGCCATTACCTGGACCGTCACAGACGCCTCACCAGTGATAAACAGTGGCCGACGGCAGACAGCGCACAATAGACAAAGATGGATGAAAGAAATGGAAATCTGAACACCGCACTCTATTCCGTAAGATTCCTTCTTATTCGACGCAATTTTTGTGCGACCGAGTACCGAGACACAATGCATCGATCTAAAAACATATTCGTGGTCTTAGTCCACATTTTTCGTTTTGATCTATTGTCATTAGATTGTGTTATAGTTCTAACGTTTTGCTCTTTGCGTTTGCTCTTAGGTTCACGTTTTTAAGAAAAATAAATTGCACTGACATATATGTGGACGTTGGCGCACTGAAAAAAAAATTAACCCAAGGCCGGCGAGTAAACCGGTGTTTCGCGGGTACCCCTATCCCCAACCATTTTTAACCACTCTCCCAGGAGTATACAGTAAGGTCCCATTGCAGTGTAGTCGTCCCTGCTCTCAGCGGACATGTTCGCTGACAGCGGTTATATCCGCTCAGAGCAAGTACGACTACACCGCAATGGGACCTAGCACTACTTCTGGGATTCCCATACGCCGAGATATCCCTTTAGCATTATCCTAGCCGTGCGGGAAACATTTGCACGTGATCTTTCCTGCACTGTTTTCCGGCACGGGTTGATGACCTACAGTTCTGGTGATTTTTTTTTATAAAAATCTTAAAAAAGGTGATTTCAATAATTAAATTGCGAGTTTCTGAATAGATATTAAACGACGTATGGGAAATATCTTACTGAACTTGCTCTGGGAAGAAAAATGGAAACCTCGGTCTTCAAAAAATCTCCGGCACTCGGCTACGCCTCGTGCCTACAATTTTTTAAAGACCTCGGTTTCCATTTTTCTTTCCCAGAGCCGTTCAGTAATATATAGGGTGGTTAAAAATGGTTGCGGATAGGGGTACCCGTGAAACACCGGTTTACTCGCCGGCCTTAGGACAGGTTAAATTGTTTTCAGTGCGCTAGCTTTAGAGTCGCGCTGAAATGCCTTTGAAATGGACTGCGAGATATAACTCAACATCACGCTTCTGTGCTGAAATGAAGACGGAACTCCAGCCGCCTTAGAGCGTGATATATGTTTGCTTCGTGATGCATGAAATGCAGCTTACTCTGAAACGTCTTGAGCTTTCCATGGAATAGATATCCTTATCGGTATGTAGGTAAGAACGGACGGAGTAGAGCACTCAAATACTAAATATTGGGTGAGCTCACAGCTGCGTGGAGATTAAAATGAATTTAGGAATGAAAATTAAACTGCTTCGGTGACATCTCTCCCAAGATTGGATTTAAAGCTGAGCTGCTACAGTCCCACTTCATTTCAGGAGCTAACTAAGGAAAATAATGCATTGTGTCCCCCGGCATTTGCAATAGGTTCGTGTGCTTTCTATATATTCAAAAGAAATGTTTATTTTGTGCCGTCTTTCATACAATTATGACTCTACAACGATTTTGATCTAAGGGAAATTCGGTCACGGGTCAGGATATTTGATAACAGAGAAGTTAATCATCTGTCGCTTGATTTAGACATGAAAGAGAAGTTTACATAGCATGATAATTTCACCTAAAGCTTTGAATTTCATTAACAGAAAAGTAGCGGCTCTCCCAGCAACACTAAAGCTCAGATTGCTCCTTAATCCCACCACTAGTCTGTTCGATTGTATGTGCTTTCCATTTGATATTACGAGGGACGAAAGTCACCCGCGCCTCACGCCATCCGCTGCTCTACCAATGCGACACCGGCTCCGGTCACGTGGTCACGTTGTCTGAATATCGCCTCGGGCCTCGGGGAAGGTGGTCGCGAGCCGTCCTGATGAAAACGCCGCGGGGCTGCATGGCTGGGCGCCCGGTCTGGGTGGTAGCTCGAACAAAATGAGAAAATAATAGACAAGGGAACGAGTATTATAAGATCATGCAAAACGTTACACAAATTTAGCGATTGTCTATGGTATGTCTACTGCGTCTACTGTAATCTCCAGGTGCCGCATGAAAACGAGTTCAAAGTGGAAACAGAGCGATTTTCTTTTTTAATCCAGGAAGGTTTTACTGGCCCCCGAATGGAATATTTCTCAGCGGTAGTGCAAAAATGTATTAATATTGCAGACATCAAACATTCACTGAATGGTGCCGAATGATATGGCGACATGGGTGTGCTTCTGGACAGCTCATACAGACGCTCCAGACGCGGGAATCGCGCGCCGATCGCACTCACACACGAACGTTTTTTTTTCGGAATAGTGAACAACAGCCCGGTCAGTCCTGCTAGTAATCTGACCAGAGTGAGAGGCGGAACACACATACATTCATGAGTACATACCTACCCTAGTCTCTGCAAGTATAAAAATAGTTTCTGGTGCGCGCAGTCAAAACAAAGAATGTTTAGCGAAACGGAGACACGTAAACAGAAGGAAGGTGGTCAGCACATTTCATATTGTCAGTAGCGTAGCCCAGCCTTAATTCGCGTCATATAAGCATGTATAATTATTATTTGATCAATGGTTTGGTAAGAAGTGTTACAAATAGCAAAACAACATGAAGTTAACGGTTAAATGGGTGATGATACGTAACTTAAAAACCTCTGGCACCCCAGGCCACGGTCCCTAATTCGAGATCCAAGACGGTGCCAAATTCGACTTCGCGGAAAGAAACTATTGTAGGAACCTACGCATAGATAATTAAACCTGTACTTTACGCTTAGTGTGCAATGCGGTGGAAAGTAAGCGCATTTCAGGAAGATGAATTCTCACGCAACACAACTATCAAGTTTCAACAACTTATGCACGCCTTCACAACCTGACGGTGACCATCCACTGTCCGGCAGATCGGATGACCTCGCATTGTTTACACTAATTGCTTTTCATCCCTGGGCCTAGTCCTTTGAGCTGTTCTGCGTTCCCGTATAGGTACACTCATTCCCTGCGACCAGAGACGGCCCGCCCGAGACGGTCAGGCGGACAGCATTTAGGCGGAGGCGGTCGGGCGAGGGAGATCGACAGCTTGTCACGTCCAACAGACGTGGCAGACAACGACTACTGTCACTCGGTAAGCACGTGAAATACGTGGACGCACTCAAATGCACGCAAACGCACGTGGGCGCACACGAATCGTGGTTACGTCCACAGCACTCCTTCGCGTCCAACCGCGAGCACTGTCCAGCGTCCCCAGCGTCCTCGCCGCCGCGCGGTATGTCATCTCCCTCGCATCTCCCCCTCACTACACGTCACTGCTCCGCGCACAGCTCTCCTGCCGCACAAACACCTTTCCGTTCTCGTCCAACTGCACGTTATTGTTCTGCGCCGGCTCGTGCCCTGCGTCCGCAGCATCCTCCGCCTTCGTCGCGTGCACGTCTGCGGCCACAATCTCCTGGGTGTCGCCGTTTGAGTCGGCGGCCGGCGGCGGCGCCTTGTCGGGCGCCTTCTCGGCCGCCTCCGTCTCCGGCTCGGCAGCCGTCTCCCGGACGCTGATGAAGGGCACGCGCACGCTGACGCCGCCTCCGACGCCCGACAGCAGCAGCTTCACCTTGACGTAGTAGGAGACGTGCACGGCGAAGTTACTCCAGTCGACGGCGCTCTCAACCACCGAGGGCGATAGGCGGCCGCCGCGCTCCGGGCTGTCCTCCAGCGCGATCCAGTTCTTGAAGGAGCCGACGCGCGGCTCCAGCTCGAAGTCGCGCACCAGGGTGGCGTCGGTGACCACCGGACAGCCCTCAGTAGTCTCCACGGAGGCCACCACCGACTTGAACTTGCCGGACTTGAACATGGCGACGTCCACTGCCTGAACGACCTCCGCCTGAAGCACAGAAAAATAAACGTCAGAAAGAAGTAATTCCTATCGCAATGATGTGTCTTTTAGCGCGGAAGACGTGAAATAATATCACGGAAAAAGCGGAAAACAAGATGTCACCGACATCCGAAATCAAATCTAGATCGAAACGGGTATTGGAGTTCCTAAGGGCCACATGTTGCATGATCTATGAAATTGACCAGACGGAAAAAGACCGGCTCGGATGCCCGCGTCGATAGATTGACGTCCGGCGGCCGCTCCTGCCCCGTCCCGGGTGGTGTCGTGAAGCCGTCGGTGGCGCGGTTCACGGGGAATAACGAGTGCCGATACGGCTGCCGGTGACGGCTGCCTCTGAGCTATGGGAAGACACCAGATTCCAAGGGGAGCGTTGTTCTCCACGCTGTCAGCAGCAACGGGCGATAAGTTAACCGATTAGAAGTCGTTATCGTTTCGCGCTTACCGGCCCAAGTTGCCTAATATTTGATGGTGTTCTATGCCGGCGGGACAGTGAGCCGCTAACTTTGTGCTCTGGACGCCGCGGCGACTGTCAAAACTGACAAACCTGTCACGATTCCGCCCCGAGGGAGAGCCACTCCAGGCAGCAGTCCAAACAGCCCGCATAAAGGATCGGCGATGTTTAGAGCGGACCCTGACGGCAGCCTTTGAGGTACTGGGAACGACGAAACAATGCCGGCTGATTTGTTTTGGTTTCTGCCGTTTTAACTGAGGCCCGGACTGAGCGCTTTTTCAATTTGGCATTCCATTGTATGGTTTGAGTGTCTGGGACTGTATAACAGAAAATAGCCTTGTATCTTTGCTTCTGATAATTGTCAGCAAAATAGAGCACTACAGAGATTGTCAACATCAGAGAAAGTAGCATATGACTTATATTTAGTCCCGCAACGTCGTTTGTACGTAAGAGAGCATAGTCCGTAATTTTCATAAAGTCTCACGTTTACCATCTACATAGCACCAGCGAACTGAAGTCAGCCGTAAGACGGCTCACCGTCCCCTCTGGCCGGGCGGCTCACCTTGATTTTCCGGACGGTCCTCTTGCAGCCGTTGTTGACGAACACTCGGAAGGCGATGCTCTGCTCCTGCACGAACACTTCCTTCTGGAGGGAGACCTCGAGGTGGACGCGGCCGCCGCTCAGCAGGAACTGCTTCAGCACGGCGTTGCGCGGCGCCGGGCCGCAGGAGGGCGGCGGCAGCTGGCACAGCCGCACCGTCATGCGCACGGAGGCGCGCCGCAGCGGCTTCTCCGACTGCGCCTTGCCTGCGGGTAGCAGGTGGGTGTCAGCAGGCGGCGCACCGCCTGCCTCTACCCACCGGCGGGGCGCCGGGCGTGGTCAGAGCGGGGTATACCGGGGGACACAGAGTGCCCGAGCGAGCGGTCTGGCAGTGGAGTGAGAGAGAAATGAAATGAGTGACAGAATGTGCTGCCTCGAAGGTAGTTTAGAGACAGATAAGAAGAAAATATGCTTTTCAAGAAGAAATATGTTGTTTGCCAGTGACCGTTCTGTGCAGACTGTCATGCACCCAGCGCTGACAAAAACAGTGCACGTGCAAGTGCAACTATATTAATAACGTGCTATATATTTTCAATGCAATAAAGCGTCCCCCTGTAGGCATATCAAAAGTTCATAACGTGTTCGCTTCGCAACGATTGTGAAAAAATGTTTGCAGCATTCCAAAACAAATCCAATTAAAATCATTCAAAAATAATCCGACACAAAATATAACTGAATAACATTAACAAGATGCATCGTTAGAATCAAAATCCGTTAGGAGCCACACCGAACGGCTCCGCTAGCTCACCTGCGAAGAAGTGCACCTCGTAGGATGTTCCGAGCGGCGCGCCGGTGTACGATTTGGCCGGGTACAGCGAGACTGAGGGCGGCGCGCACGAGGAGACCTGGAACTGGAACGCGTGCGCTACGCCGCAGGCAGACAGATGACGCTCGATCGTCTTCTGCGGGCGCACGGGGAGGAGCGGGGTCACACGCGGCGAGTGATGGGGTGAGGCTGATATAATGCAGGGGAGATGATTGAATAATTTGATGTGTGTTTCAGACGTAACGGAGATATTGAAGTTCTGTAGGTGGGGTAGCTTTAGTTGAACGTCAGTATATACCACTTTCATGCGCTCGTCACAAATAATGTTTTTTATTTACGTTCTATCTGTTTGTTTCGACTTCACTTGTGCATTTACCGTCAGCCGCATTGTTTGATGTATGGATAGTAAAAAGGTCTATATTTCATTCATTTGTACGCACGCACTAGACGGAATATAAATAAATCGTGAATGTATAAGAATACACAAACAACAGGCACATATAAACTATGCAGGGTTATAAAGTCTTAAAGGCTGAGCAAAAATAAATCGATGATACAACAAAGGCAGAGTTTGACATTCGAATAAATAATGCACGAGTCTCTCCGCTGTGTGATCGCTGCGTGGGGTGCTCAGACGAAACGATCAAACGTGATCTTTTGCGTCAGCCAGCACACCTAAGCAGGCTCTACGCCCACGCCGCCTCGTCCTGACAGCCCGCGGGTGGTAATCCTCCGACTGGGCCGAGCGGCAGCGTCAGTGCGTGCGACAGAGGAAAGCAAACAGCCACGGTGGCCAGGCGTCCGGCGGCGGCGACTGACAGCCCACGGCCAGAGTCGTCCGAGAAACAACACAAGAGGATTGGCAAACGTGGGGATAAACACGGCCTCTCGGACGGAGGGCTGGCACACAGTCGGCCTACGTCCGACACTGTCACAGCGCCGGCTGAGCAGCTCTGTTCGGACCCTGCCGCCGCTGCTAACGCTGACGAAAAATAATGAAATGCTTCTTGTTATCTGCAGAGTAATTTGCTATCTCTGATAAATAGATGTGTAATTCCCATTTCAGGCGTTCTTTTATCTGTATTCTCTGCGCAGGATTACGTAGGCAAAAGCATGAGAATGGATGTCTGGCAAAAGAACTGTGGAAAATGTGTTTATCGATGCCAGCGCCGGAGATTTTTGAATAAATGTTAGCTTTCAGCTTTCCGCGCGCGATCATAAATAGCTCATGGTTATCGGTTATCTTTGTTAGCGGTGTCATGTGTGCATTAGCTGGCGGTGTATCAGCGTTATGGGACAAAAACAGACTGATACAAAGGTCGCAGAGAAAGAACAATAGCCTGCAGGCTAATGTAGCGCTCATCCATTTCAGTTACAGAGTGCGACGATCCGTACGCCCGGCGATTGATGCTGATGTGTAGCCCGCCTATGACAGCACTATGTGTGTAGGCAGCTATATCGCCGGCAGAGTGGAGCGCGGCGGTCCGTCAATCTGCGGAGACTGAACTGTAACTGCGATTACAATGTATTGTATATGTAGAATATCTAAGACAGTTAGGATAAATGATAACACTAACCGTGTTTACATAGGGTTCCCTTAATCTTCCCCTATTTGTCTCTTAAATGTCCCTTATAAAGGAATCCTCTGTCTCCTTTACCTCGCTTCACTACAAATATGGCGCAATTAAGTCATTCTAGAAGCAGTTTGCAATTTTTACTTACCTTTAGGGCTCTCCCAAATAGCTTCCAGACTAGACACTGAGGTAAAAGTGATAGCACATGAAAGCTCAAAGCAAGAAAAACCAGAAAACTATCTGGCATTTAACATACTTTAAACGGCTGAGCTATTATTCAAGTAGGTGTAATCACATCCATGGCAATATCAGAACACCGCACCCATGTCGAATTTCTGCCTTGACTTTCTGCCGTTTATGCCAGTTTATGCGTTAATGCCACTTAAAAATCCTCAGTCGGCGCACGTGCGCTTGTCGAGTCGGGGACCACCAGTCGGACGATTCGGAACTGCCGACCAATCAGCACGCCGCTTTTGTGATTTGGTAGTTTGAGAACCACTGGATATGGTAGCGTAGCAGCTTTTGGAAAGGCGCTACGCTACCAAATCCTCCCCTATTTGTCGCTTAAAGAGGGAATTGAAGGGCAGGATAAAAATACTCCAAAATATGAATTGTTGAATTTCGAGTATTAAATAAGCCCAATTTATGTTGTTTACAGCATAAACGATGCTTTGTATGCTTCTAACAACAATAGCGCCCATAGCAACGTTACACGCGATCGCTATGATGCCTAAAATTCGATCTGAAAATAGGGGAGAAATAGGGGAAGATTAAGGGAACCCTATGTAAACACGGCTAATAACACGTCAAATGTATATTTAAACACACAAAGCTTTCGGTATGAAAATACCTTGATCACTGTGTTAACAGAAATGAGGACAGAAATTGTCACCGGCAGCTTGTACAAAAATATAAAATAGCACTCGAAAAATAGATCACAATCACGAGATTATCTATCGAAGTCCTGCCACTAAGCTTACAGCGCATGTTGCTAAAGTTATAAATCCAGTCCTAGTATTGATGGTATCGCGTGCTGATATGTGAGCCGCTTCTAAGATTTTTCGTGTCGTTTTTCGTGCGCCCTTCTCTAATAATCGAGTTGCTCCCCAGTTCGGTAAATGATGAGACTGTTCGGCATGTACGACGATTGCGTTCGATGTCGCAATCGAACATCGAACATCGAACGCAATCGTCGTACATGCCGAACAGTCTCATCATTTACCGAACTGGGGAGCAACTCGATTATTAGAGAAGGGCGCACGAAAAACGACACGAAAAATCTTAGAAGCGGCTCACATATCAGCACGCGATACCATCAATACTAGGACTGGATTTATAACTTTAGCAACATGCGCTGTAAGCTTAGTGGCAGGACTTCGATAGATAATCTCGTGATTGTGATCTATTTTTCGAGTGCTATTTTATATTTTTGTACAAGCTGCCGGTGACAATTTCTGTCCTCATTTCTGTTAACACAGTGATCAAGGTATTTTCATACCGAAAGCTTTGTGTGTTTAAATATACATTTGACGTGTTATTGTTATCATTTATCCTAAATGTATTGTATGTATAGTCGACTACAGAATGATGTTCCACTTTTCACAGGCAATTAGCTGCCTAGAGTGGTAGGCTGTGCCACATCACACGGGCTGAGTTCACAAATTATAGCTTTGTCCCAATGCTCACAATCGACACGCTTAATTGCGTGATAAACGGCACAACTTAGCGCTCCGGTCAACTAATAGCTTCTGAGGAGTGGAACATCATTCTGTAGACGACTAAGGTCTCGCGGGTTTAAGCGGTAGGTTTTGCACCTAAAAAACTTAGTGTACCTATACTTCAGGCTATATCTTCGTCGTCTTCAGCTTTTTAAGTGTTGAAGATGCGATCGACTTGTTGGGTAACAAGCCGGCCATGATCGTGTAAAATGGCTTCATCGTATAGATCGATTAGTTTCTGAGATATAACCGGAAATGTAAAAGTGCAAAAGCTACCGCTTAATCTCGCGAGACCTGTACCTATTGCTCTGTATTCTATGTATTGTAGGTATGTGTGTCATTACCTGCAGTGTGGATCGCGGCGGCCCGTCCGTCTGAGGGGACTCCTTCATCGGGTGCAGCTGCTGCGTCTGCAGGATGATGATGTTGGAGAACGTCAGCCCCATCACCTGCCGGGTTGACGGACGGCGTCAGACGGACGTGCTGGCGGCAGTCGACACTGTCCTCAAATCACACCTCAGTCGGTGGCCAGCGATAGACAGCTAACGTCAAACCGCGGCACGGGTGGACCACAAGTCACGTGATGATCCTACATTTACCCGTTTCCATGACACTTCTTAATCCGGATTTGCTCCGAATCCGGATTCAAGCGACCATGGAAACGGCACATTTCGCGGCACATAGTCGTGAAAGTCGTTAAGCAGGATGCTGCACGTGACCGGCCGGTCACGTGATATGCCAGCGTCGGCTTCTCCCGTTAGCACCGTCCAGTATATGTACATTAATATCCGGTCGGTATGGGGTTGGTGAGCCGTGGCCACGCCCCTCCCTGTTCCTCTACTCGGAGAGCGACTCACAGATAAATGTCAACGCCCGAGCGACCTTCAGGCGTCCTCAGCCATTCATGACTTACGGCTGCTCTTTGCACCGGCATTGGCGGATTCAGACTCGTTGATATATTCATTGGGCATTGTACTTTGACATATACCTTCCTATCAGTTGTGGTTTCCATTCAGCATTGGCAAAAATACCTATTGGAATTAAAACTACTCACGATCTTTGGAGCATGACATTCAAAGAAGACCACGTCCGCGACAATGACATTCATTTGTCCAAGGATAACTGTTTTAGAATAGGCACATTGGAAAGCTCCATAAATGATGATAGGGAAGCAGCTGTACCATGTATGTACGTACTTTTAGTTAACTCAAGCCAACCAACCCTTTCACCACTCCTCCTTTTTAGGCTGTCACTCTTTTTAACATTTCGCTACCGTTCAGCGGGAGCACCTCAGTGCTGTCCCCGCAGACGTGTCCGCGGTCCGCGGCCGGTCGGACCGATACGGATCTCACCCCGCCATCGGCTCCATTCAGAGGCGGCTCGGCGGCCGTGCCTTTGATCCGGCTCGGCCCGAGTGGCCCGCCGTGCTCCATTACCCCAATGGAGCACAGTCTGCCGGCCACTGTGGCCACCCGGTCGGACATAATGTGAACCGGCCTTCAGCGGTACGGTCAGGTTACCGGACTGCTGCCACCGGGCGGGTATGTCAAAGGCGCATAAAATATAATGAACTCATAATTGTTTACATATAAACAGATTCAGATGTGTTGTCCTTAACCGGTGTACGACATGGGCTACTTGGTGACTGTAGTCCAGTTCATTTACCAAGCTAGTGAATCAATTGTTAACAAGCCCCGTTCACACAAACTTTATGACCAGTATAACACCTTTTGGGGCGACTAACGGAGCGAGCGAGGGGGTGAGACTTGCACGTGCGAAATTTCGAGGGGGTACCTCCAACTGACTTGTGCACGGCACCCTACTGACCGGTTTCTAGCGATGTGCCAAATTTGAGCACAATCGGCCCAGCCGTTCTCGAGATCTGGAAGCGGCACCCTGCACGTGCGCACGTGCAAAATGGGTCCCAACTGACTTGTGCACGGCACCCTACTAACTGGTCCCTAACCGTGTACCAAATTTGAGCGCAATCGGTCCAGCCGTTCTCGAGATCTGGAAACGACCCCTGCACGTGCGCACGTGCAGCAGCACCCCAACTCTGGCACATGGATATGCGGTGTCTAGTGGGTGCCTACCTACATGCCAACTTTCAGCGCAATCGGCCAAGTAGTTACCGAGATATTGCAACAATTACAAAAGTGACACCTCTTCGTTTTGCACGTGGCACGTGCATAAGGGGTCACCCACATGCATCGGGAATAGTCCAATACTTGGTAGAAGGGATGAAGCTACCCTACAAAAATTACCGCGTGTAAATCGGTCAAGTGGTTGCTGAGATATAAGCCTCGCAAAAGCGTCCGCACGGCCGGCCGGCCGGCCGGCCGGCCGCTCATACTCAGAAATTTCCGTTAATCTAAGGAAAGACTACGCTCGCTTCGCTCGCTCCATAACCACGCCCTCCTATTGCATGCACCCTCGATCAACCAAAACAGCCCAACTTAACCAGTATAGCGCCTTTTGGGGCGACTAACGGAGCGAGCGAGAGGGTGAGCCTTGCACGTGCGAAATTTCGAGGGGGTACCTCCAGCTGACTTGTGCACGGCACCCTACTAACCGGTCTCTAGCGATGTGCCAAATTTGAGCACAATCGGCCCAGCCGTTCTCGAGATCTGGAAGCGGCACCCTGCACGTGCGCACGTGCAAAATGGGTCCCAACTGACTTTTGCACGGCAGCCTACTAACCGGTCCCTAACCATGTACCAAATTTGAGCGCCATCGGTCCAGCCGTTCTCGAGATCTGGAAACGACCCCTGCACGTGCGCACGTGCAGCAGCACCCCAACTCTGGCACATGGATATGCAGTGCCTAGTGGGTGCCTACCTACATGCCAACTTTCAGCGCAATCGGCCAAGTAGTTACCGAGATATTGCAACAATTACAAAAGTGACACCTCTTCGTTTTGCACGTGGCACGTGCATAAGGGGTCACCCACATGCATCGGGAATAGTCCAATACTTGGTAGAAGGAATGAAGCTACCCCACAAAAATTACCGCATGTAAATCGGTCAAGTGGTTGCTGAGATATAAGCCTCGCAAAAGCGTGACCACGGCCGGCCGGCCGGCCGGCCGGCCGCTCATACTCAGAAATTTCCGTTATTCTACGTAAGACTCCGCTCGCTTCGCTCGCTCCGTAACCAATTTCTCCCGAACCCCAGCCTAACTCGAATCCCGAACAGTTACCGAGAGCCGCACTCAACGTCTCCTCTGCCGTTTCCGGCCGTCCAGGCAAGCCAATATCGAAAGGATAAGAGGCAAGCTGACGCCTACATACGCATTACGCTACGATCTCGCGGAACAAGGTCCGGTCGATCGCCTTTCTGTCTCGGTACGGTAATTACCCGCTCTGAGTCACCTGCACGCAGACCGGGGTCACGTGGTGGCTGCCCCTCCCTCCACCTTACAGGACGAACTGCTGTTGCCACTGGCAGTACCTACCCGGATCATGTGACCGGCGTATATACGGACCAGAGTGATCCAGCTATTCGAGACGTGAGGTCACGGTGGCTCCGTAATTGTAGCCGACATAGAGCAGTGTGTGATATTGATCTTGTCATTGTGGAGCACTGCCCGTACTCGAGGTGGTTATTCCCTGAACAGACAGGTGTGCCAGCTGGATGGTCTTTTCTGGATCAACCGTAAAACGTAGAGCTCACTGAACTTGGAGCCCTAAAGCTTCTGAGAGCGGTGAGTGAAAAAAGCGACTGCTCTGCTTCTGTTGATTCTTTGGGCCACGTTCACTTCTCTTGCTTTTCGGAGCATCGTCTGTATCTATCAAACAAATAAGGATCACTCATTGTCTTATACTACCCTCTATTTTATGTGAGCTCTAATAGTTCCCTCATCATCCTCACAAAATCTAACCCCTTTTCTCCCAGCCCCTTTTCGTCTTTCCATAGCCTCGTCTTTTACCTACCTTCTTCGTTCTTGCTTTCGCCTTTCTCGATCCAAGATCTCGTATCTGTCTTCATCATCCTTTGCGTCTTTTTCCGCTCACCATTCCTCAATCTGTCGGTCTTTTGTAACCATCTTTCCACACTTCATGCCTTTCTGCTCTCCTTTTCAGTCACTCCTATCCGCCCATTCTCATCCCCCTCCCCCAGTCCTCTCTCTCTCCTCTCTCTCCCCCTCTCCCTCTCCCTCTCTGCCTCTCCCTCTCTCACTCCCTCTCCCTCTCCCTCTCCCTCTCCCTCTCCCTCTCCCTCTCCCTCTCCCTCTCTCTCTCCCTCTCCCTCTCCCTCCCCCTCCCTCTCTCTCCCTCTCCCTCTCCCTCTCCCTCTCCCTCTCCCTCTCCCTCTCCCTCTCCCTCTCCCTCTCCATCTCCCTCTCCCTCTCCCTCACCTCCTCGTCCTCACGTCCGTAGCGGAACACCAGCACCAGCTGTCCGTACAGGCTGTGACTCTGCAGGTACTCGGAGTCGGCTATCACCACCCCGCGGATCACCGGCGGGCTACTCCCGTTGATGACCACCTCACGGTTCTCCACGTACAGCACGATCTTGTTGTTCGGGGCCACCTTCTTGTAGACCCTGTCGGAGACGGGGTGGTAAAGTCAGATGGGGTAGGGAGGGGTAGAATTCGGGGCCGGGTAGAGCTGGGTCGGAGACGGGAGAAGATGAGGGTGGTCACATGGAGGGTCTGCTGCGTCCAAGTATAGGCAGTCCAAGTGGTGCTGGCTGGTTCTGAAGGGTGTTGTGTCGGGGGCGGAGCGGGTCTCTGATCTGGCGGGTGGAATTTATGGACAGTATCACTTAGAAAATGGACTGAGATGGAAACATAAGTTTTGGTCATGGCCACACTGACTCAGTTAGTGTTCTGCCAGCGGCCATTACTTTCGATTTAACTCCACGTGGTATTGTAGAAATGGGGACTCGATCACTATTAAAGAGACGAAGTTGAGGTCGGCTATGAGCATAACACATTCGTATACTGACATACCATTGGAATTTAAATGGGAGCCGTTAATTTTTTTTACAGCAATGGAAACAACAACAAAAATGAGAGAGAGAGAGAGAGAGAGAGAGAGAGAGAGAGAGAGAGAGAGAGAGAGAGAGAGAGAGAGAGAGAGAGAGAGAGAGAGAGAGAGAGAGAGAGAGAGCGAGAGCGAGAGAGAGAGAGAGAGAGAGAGAGAGAGAGAGAGAGAGAGAGAGAGAGAGAGAGAGGAAGAGAGAGAGAGAGAGGGAGAGAGAGAGAGAGAGAGATGAATTTCCTGATACAGTCTGGTTCTAAAAATGAATAATTAGTGTTACGTGTTTTCGGCACTTGATTTCAAGCAACTCATCCCCATCCAGCAATAGTAAGTACATGTTTTAGCTACTTACATATAGTGAAAATGGAAGTTTTTGTGTTCTCACTTTTTCTAATGATAACCACTGTCACATTACCAGAGGTGCCTGTTTTACATGTACAGTTTTACATGTGCCTGTTTGACATGTCACTATACCTACAGGCTACAGCAAATGTTCTGATGGAGTTCCGCACACAGTTGTGCTGAAATGCGCAGTCAGAACTCAGAAGTGTCTAGCTCAGTGATTTTTTTTCAGACAGTATGCGTATACAACCGCGTGTACAGTAGGTCTATTAAAAAAGTCCCCAGCACCAGTGGGCGCTGCCTTCGCTGAGCCGAACCCCCGTCTGCCTGTCCCATATCGCGCCGGGCTCAGGTCAGGTAGGGTCAGCGGGACCGCTCGGTCCGGCCCGCGGGCGGTGGACGGGCGGCCGGTAACGTTTTCCGCCAGCCAGCTGTAGAATCCAACAAACGGGACGGCCACCGCTCAGCGCAGCGAAACCGGTGTTAAGAATGGCAGTAGATGTTCATGGCCACAATGATTATAGAGATATTAGCCCGTGCCCCACAGGAATGCCTAGACTCTAACGCCCTGTTGGAGGGGAAATGGGAATTGAGCATCATTCTTATAACTCAGCTTTGGGCATTTAAGTGGCATTCGAAGTAGCGTCAAAAGTAGCAAAAAGAAAAAGAAAAATACTTCAGCCAATTTAAGATCGGGTCAGAACCAGAGGTCATGTCACCAGAGGTCATCGGTGGTAAAATTTTGCTTGGACAGGGTGCGTTGCGCGCACCGGTGCATTGGGTTTCCAATTTCCATGGAAACATCAACAGACTCGGAAGCTCGCAACAAGATACCTATAAGAAACAGGTAGGTCCGATGTTTTGAGTAAAGCCCACGTAAAGCCCTGGTGACGTCACTGACATTTCTTATATGGAGAATTTCGCCCATAAGAAAAATATTTTACATACGAAAATTTGTATTTCATTCGGAAAAAATACATTCTATCAATTTCATCATGAAACTTATATAATTTAATTATAAAACTTGAAATCCTTTGAGTGCTTGTCCCAACCCCTGCTATACCTTTGGTCACGTGACTTCCATGATAAACTTTGCGTTTTACAATGTTATGACTTAAACAGAAGCAATAAATGTTACAAGCGTATTATTTATGATGTTTTAAGCAGCAATCGTGTAATAACATCCTTGAATTATATACATTTTGCTTAAAAGAGGTCACGTGATGTTACCAGATTGTGCTCGGACAGCATCTTCTTGAACTTCGATTTTGAGTACTTTTTACCTTCATTGAGTCCTAATAACGGACGTTTTTAGTTATAAAATGAAGCAATGAATCTATTGAGGGCAAAATTTAATCATTTTTGCACTTTCAAGCCGGGCTATCCTGGCATGAACTTCGGCCGGTTTGTGTGTGAAGCCTATGGTGAAGGGAAAACTTCACGCCCGGCTGACGTCACAGACCTCGGCTACCAAATCGTGTCCGGTGGGGGTCGGCTCGCAACGCTAGCGTGGAGCCGAATTCATATCAACCGCCGCAACAATGCAGCAGCGCAGCGCAGCGTGCTGCAGCGTGGGGCCGTGAAACACCGCCCAGGCCCCCTGTCTCCCCCTAATTCCTGTCATCCTTCCCACTCTGAAATCGACCGAGCCTAACCTAACACAACAATCAGCTCGTTTACCGCTATGTCTAAATAATATTGTCGCTTCGCCTAGTCTTCATGCTTCCCTCTCTGGACTGGAGGTCACCCCACCAGCCAACCTGTAGTTGATGTCGGATCAATTCCAGGCAGAAATGTGCATGGATCCGAGTGATGGATCAATGATCTCAGTGGATCTCGAGGCAAATTGCAGGTTCGGATCTATGATCCCACAGAATCCGGCGTGAAAAAAGTATCCTGGATCTATGATCTCCCAGGATCTGAGGATAAACCAAGAACATGGATCTTTGATCTGAGTGGATCCCACCATGCATAACATTTGGAACCAGGTTTCCAAGTGTTTCTATGTCAATAAGTGCCATACAACTATGGATTATGACGTGTTATCACATTAAATCACTAAATAAGAACGTTGTGAGTTGCAACGAGTGATCTTTGGGAGTTCTGTGTTGACCAAAAATAAATGAGGCTCTGTGATCCCACTGGATCTCAAGCAACAATACTAGACTCGGATCTATGATCCCTACGGATCTCTCGATAAATTAAAGAGCTGGATCTATGATCCCCACGGATCCGAGATCAGGATCCGTGGGATCAGATCCCAGATCCATTTTCTCGGATCCATGCACATGTCTGATTCCAGGACAAATAACCCTCTTCGTGATGACGGTTTGGGAGACGGCTGGACCGTCCCGACAGGGCAATCGTCCCACGGGAACAGTCTCGCTTCCGCAGATCACTGTCGCTGGCTCGCACAACCTAATTACTACACCCAGGCGCGGATACAAGGGGGGGGGCCATGGGGGCCATGGCCCCCCCCCTTGGCCGATTTTTTTCAAAAATAAAATAAAAAGTTAAAAAGTTAAAAAGCTGAAAAGGGGGCCTCCTGAAAATAAAGTGGCCGAAATCCGATGAGTTTTTTTTTTAACCTACCCACTTAGTTATTTCTTAGAAGACTAGCTGAGAAGACTTCTTTGTTAGAAGATTGGTAAAGCTTTTCATAACTTGGAGGTCTCTTATACTCACAGAGATGACCACTTTTACAGGGCCTCCTAACCTGCACAGAGGGCCTCCAAGCCTGCACAGATGTTGAGATGTTGCCTGAACAGCTAGATAAGCTCAATAGACGCAGTTTTTTTGGGGGGGGCCCAACAAGTGGGAAGATGGGGCCTCCAACAGGTGGGATTATGGGGGGGGGGGCCTCCTGGTTTCTAATGGCCCCTCCCTTGGAGATTTTCTGGATCCGCCCCTGACTACACCAGAGCATAGTTATGTCATAGCTCTGCAATGGCCTTTTCAGACCGAAAAAGATGGCTCCCAACAAAACAAACAATTTTCTCATTTACAGTAGTAAATGAGAAAATGTAGTATTGTATCTCATCAAACACCACATGTTTTCAGAGTGTTTTTTATGCGTTCCGTCCAAAAAGCGCAGTTCAATTTTCTCCCATTGCCTTGAACGATCTCCAAATTGACCCGGCCTTTCTGTCAACAATGTCAAACTTGCAAAGTAAACGTTTCAAATACATAGGTATAGTGTTGCCCATTGAAATCGCTGAAAGTTCTAAAGCGATCGTTTAGTCGGTGTATTTAGATTGATGAGCACAGGAACTTTCCTTGAGGTAAGGTCACTTGACGTGACCTGGTGTTATGCCCTTGAATTGAAAGACTTGGGCGGGAAAAATGGGTCATTTGAAATCTTAAAATGCTAGATTTTAACAATAATTGCAAACACTATCCCGGCCAAATAGTGAGTGAGAAGGGAGCGATCCCCCAACCCCATGTTTAGCTCCTATAATTGAGCTAGCTGCTAGAGCCTCGCGGAAAAAACGAGCGTTTGCTTCGTTACGTGACGCAGCGACTGGTACCCATTTTAAAATATCAGTGACCTCTTAGGGCAGGTCAAGGGCCCCAAGGCATGCGATTGGTTTTTGGTAAATAACCACAAAAATTGTCGCATTATCGTCCTTTCGATACAATCGTGTTTTCTGTTTTCAGACGCGTCGATTTACATGCTTTTTTGTTTAGGTGAAGCAATTTAGGATGTTTACCTGAGGTCAATGTCATGTTAGGGCAACACAGGTCACGAAGCTGTTGAAAGGAGGACATGTTGCAAACATTTGATTCGGCAAGTCTTGCAAAGTCCATTGATGGCTGTCCCGACTGGCTAGCTCATTTTGATCGGGAGTCATTGACGAAGCACTCCTATCACCCTAGTGACGTCATAAATGACGTCACGCAAGGTGAACAATGCAAAAGTGAAGCATTAGACCTTGCCAAGAATGTATTAAGTCACGATTTGAAGTGCTTGAGAGTTGAGGTATAATTTTAGATCATTTCCGACGCCAAGATTAAGTGACCTGACCTGAAAACGTGGTTGATGTCAAATGATCCGGCTTGAATCAAATGCATGGCATATGAAATGTCAGCCTTCTATCATCAGTGTGCTTTGAGCTACCGCAAAAAAAAAATACATGGTGGCGGCATTCACCCCTTCTTCTCGGCCGGCGAGGGTTAAACCTCGCTTCGAATTATTGCAGATAATGATGCGACCGAAAACAAAGCATTTATCTGTGTCTAGAACGGCCGCTGACTTGTTGGACAAGATCCCCAGTCTTCATTTGCTAGATGGGAATAAAATACTCGGTATGTGATACATATATAGTATATACCCCTCGATTTGCCCTCGCGCTAAGTCTATTTTAAACATCACTGTCGCTTTTTTTATCCGATATGATGTCGCCATTAAACGGGTTGTTTTGTGTGCTTGTTTGCGTTGAATGGTCATTACGAAGGATTATTGAAGGATCGTGATAAAATAGGAATGGGGCGAGGGAGGATATGCACTGTGTCTGCAGGTGTTTAATTTAGATCACAAAGGCATCATTTCCGGCATAGTGCAGAGTCACTATCTTCCCCCTCCTCTGCACTGCGGCATCTCTGCGCCCCACACACGGCGTCCTCACTCCACGGCCGGCCGCCGCCAACTGACCCACTCGCCGGGCGCCGCGACCTGACCCGTGTCGCTGCCGCGGCCTGCGCAATAGAGTCGGGGCTGGCATCCGGGGGTTCGGCCGGCCGGCCGCCTCTGGAGCGGGGGACTTTTTTAGTAGACCTACTGTACACATATACGCTGCTATATGCTTCGCCCAATTCTGGGGCGATGGGAGGGCGAGCGCAGGTGTTCACTTGGAACCAGCTGCGCGGAAAAGAAAGTAATGAAACTTTGTGCCTGATAATGAGTGGGATTCATATAATGTACTTACTTACATATATCTATTCAAGCAGTTGAAACGTACCGACACTAATGAAAAAAGAGTGAAGTGTAGGAGAGGTAAGTAAATAATGTAAGATACAGTGTGTATGCAGTATGCACATAGTGTATGCCTATTGCCTAGCCATGTTGCTAGTTCGTGATTAGTTTACTACTCAAGGAGTTACATAACATCACTATTTTCAGCACGGCTTGGTGCTCATTTTCAGCGCTCCGAATAATTGCTAACCGTAATAAGGTAAGCCTAGCCTAATTTGTAAACTATATTACACACAGATATAAAGGTCACGTATATTGTATATGACCGGTCTATTGCCTTAGAAATTGCATTGCAGGCAGCTCAATGCTGTTATTCCAAGCTCAGGAATGAGTAACATTTACTACACACATCACATGTGTCGTTTATGTTCCGTGCGTAAAGACATGACTGCAGCAAGCATGGATCGATTTCCGTCAGGCACTAGCGACATTTGCTGAATGCTGCTCGACGGTGAACGAAGATGTAAGTGAACGGTGTACGAATATCCAATGGGTGCCATTTGTCGTGGTTTGCACCATTAGCTGTGACAGGTTTAGACAGTGCTAGGTGTCGCGTGTGACGTTACGCTGTACGGGCTCTGTGACGCTCGCGTGTGACGAACGATCCGTGACGGGTGTGTCTGGTCTCGGTCTGTCGTTGTGCGCGACACAGCCGCCTTTATACGACTGTGTTGTGTTGGGGAGGACTAGCCAAACGGTGGTGGTGGGGGGATAGGGATGAACCAAGTCAAACCGAGGTGTTTTGGGACAGGGGACCTCACAGGTGACGGTGGGCGGTGAGCAATCATGGAACGGTGTCGCCGTCGGTCTCAAGGGATGTGTCGTGATGGTGAGGAGACACGGGGACAGGCCGTGGTTGGTTTCACGGGGACGGTGTCGTGGTCAGTGTCACGGTGACCGGACGGTGTCGGCCTACCCGAACTGACACGCCGACTCGATGAAATCGTCACTGACGGTGGAGAGCTCGGTGTCACACTCCTCGGAGACCTCCCACTCACCGAGACTGCTCTCACTGAAACGCCCAGGGCACCGCCGCGCGGCCCACACGTCAACACGACACGGGGGTCCGGGGTCGTCTGATAAATGGTCGGGAATGGGATGTTGCCGGACATAAGACAGCAGCTCAGGGCTGCCATGAGTGACATGGGACCAGATGTGCCTTTTGGATAGTGAATGATGAATAGCAGAGCTGTGAGACTATGGTATTACTTTAAACAAGTGTGCAGCATGTCACTGACCAAGGTTCCATGTTTTGAACGACTGCATCGTGATTTTTTTGTTAAACAGCTTCAGTCTTACCGCTTAGCGAGTCAGACAACGTTCCATGATATTTAGGAAATCGTCAACTCGTTGGGTGCTGGTTCGATGAAAATGGCAATGTATTGGCACTGCAATCTAAATAAAATATCACAAGCTCCTCTTTATTATTAAATCAAATGAGTGCGTTGAAGAAGTTGATTGAGTAAGATGGGATAAGACAAGCATTATCATGCAGTAAAGGAGCGAAATAAATTCGTTTTTACAGAACAACACTTTCACACTAATTGTGATGCTTGCAATGTTCCCTTCCTTTCCGCAGTACACAGCAATACTGTCTTAATGTCACCTTAGTTGAACAGTTGCTCGCACACAAAGAATGGCAATTAACCCGCGCCCCACTGGGGGGGGGGGGCTATTTATAGCCCCCCCCTCCCGTTTTTCTGCAATAACTTCCAAACCGCTTGACGAATCGACGCCAAACTTTCAGTACCTTCGGCTGTATCAATTTGACACCTTGTGTCAAAATTTGAACTTCGTAGCTACCATAGGTCGGCCGGAAATGACGTCAGAGTGACGTCATGTTCGTCCGATTTCGACGCAAAACATTGAACCACGGCAATCGCTCCCAAGAGCTCACTTTTTAAGCTAGATCCAATTTCTTTGCATGAAAGGACTCAGAATTGACCGCGCTATCAAACTGCTATCTCGGATTTTCAAAATTTTGAAAATTTTGAAAATTTTATATAATAATATTCAAAATTTATATTTTTATATTTTTTTCAAAAAGTTTTTGATTTTTCGAAAAAAACCGGAATATATGTGACAGAACGCATGATTATGACTAACTCTAGCAAGTTTTAGCTGAATATCTTCAAAAATGGCCAAGTTATACGCATTATTGCAAAAAAATTCACAATTATTAATTTTTCAAATCAATTTTTCAGTACGTATTTGGCATCGGACACCAATATAAATGGCACCATCGTGTTCCTGAGCTCAAACTGCATCCAATAGACACCTTTTTTGTTGAAAAATTTCAACTTCAAAATTTGACCTTTTTTGACCTGAAAGTGACCTGACCTAAGCTAATTTCGACTCAAAATGACCTTGAATGGCACAGACGACATCAAATTCGAAATCTATGGCCTAAATGGACCATAAAACATGTGTCACGTGACCGACGCATGATATAATATTTTCGTGACCTGTGATGACCTGACCCTGACCTGAAAATCAAAGTACAAGTTTGGTACCCTCAAGGTATCTAGAGCATCTGTTCACGAGTGTGGAAACAAAAAATGAGCCTGATCTGACTTGTAAGACGGCGGCCAGAGCCCAAAATGTGAACAAGCCAAAGTGCTAATAATTTTTACTTTGACCTGACCTGTGACGTCATCGGTGACCTCGAGGTCAATGAAATTAGGTTTCGCTCGACAGTTTTTCCGGGGCTATCAGACGCCGTTTGAATTTTGACGATCGGCCCAGTAGTTTCGGAGTTAGGAGGGGGGGCTATGAATAGCCCCCCCCCCCCCCAGTAGGGCGTGTTATACACAGACCCCAGTGGGGCGCGGGTTAATCACAAGAGATGACATAAATCGACATGAATGATGAAATATGCGTAGTGCGTATGTTGCCGCAGATGAATTTATTGGTAGTGCGAACACCTCCTCGAACGTGACAACAGTGACAATGACGCAGCCTCTTGGTGACCAGCCCGGCTGAGTTTATTTCGGGAAAATATAGTCCGTATTACTAAGCCCCCAGCTTTTCTATGACGCTCGGCACGTGCTATACTTCAGGCCACTTTATGCGGGGTCACGAGTGCCCTGCATGAGACCGGGCTAGTGTAGATATTGGATGCAGAGGATGTTTCGATTACAAACTTTGACCTATAGTTGATTATAAAGTTGGTCGCCTTTAATACCATTTCATGGAGAATGTCCCCATGATCTGGAACTGTGCTATGCACCATAATACAGTATTATCGCCATCGTCATGACATTTCAACCAACAACCACCACCAGGGGTCATAGAATGAATCTGAAATTTAAAATTGATCTGAGATCTGTCTTAAATTTACCAGCGCCGTTCGTCTTATACATGCACTCATGCATTGCACACATCACCTCAATGACAGTTTTTTCCCTAACATATGGAACAAGTAAACAAGTGGAACACAGTAGCGTTTTAATCACAAAACAGCTTATTGTTGGTGTTCTGTCTAATATAAAACCGGAAGTGTCAGGGTCGGATCCGATGCATCTGGCCTGTAGCGTCTTTATCTCATCCTTGTGCTGTGCCAAGGGACATACATTTTCTCCACTGGGAACACATAGGTGCACCCAATATGCACAAGTTCATGTATAACAAGGGCGGACCTGTACCAGCATGACACGAAAGGATACAGCTGATATGTACGCTTGTAGTGTTGGCAAGGATTATATCCCGGGGCGTTGTGCGCTCCGACAGAGCTGTGACATGAATGCATACTTAAGACAAAATAGCATGCAATGCAGTAACAGTCTGAGGCGTTCTTGAGTATCGTGTGCAGAATGTTGCAAAGAATGATCCACGCAATAAAATAGCACGTTGAAATGCAGCTGTTGCACCCTAAAAAATGGAAACAATGGTACTTACTTTGTTCTTTGCATTATGGCATGTTTTCGCCTTACAGCGTCCTTATCTGGAAATAAAGGACATGTATGTCAACCTTCTTTGCTTTGATGTATAAAAGTACATTATCAAGGTCAGCGTCCATGTAGCTTGCATAGAAATACAGAATTCAGAGTTCAGAGTAAAACGACAAAATTGAAATGTTAATAAGACATTGAAGCGTTTCATCATGTGCACGTTAATAGCATCTCAGGCAGCTTATCACGTATCACAAAGACGGAAGGAGAGAGATTACTGGATTAGAGGGGAGGGAAAGGTAGAGGGAGGGAGAGTGAGCTGAAACTACAGAGTGACATATCGGTGAGTGCAGACAGGGTGGGCAGATGTTGACGGGGTAGAGCAGGGAGAGCGGAGAGAGTAGAGAGAGGAATCAAAGGAGATCATACCGCCGGATTACCTGGGGATATCACAGACGCCATAATGCTATGATATGAGGACACCGATATAATAAAGAACTTTCACTATCTATTCTGGGCGACGGCGGTGCTGCAGCCTGCTGCGTGTGCTTTGCAATGAGTTGGGATGTTCCTGAGCAATGTATATAAAAGATGTGTCTAATATGTAGATGGCAGCCGACTATAGCCCGAATGATAGCGATACCGAACTGGTAATGAACCGAGTCTTAGCTAACCGGTCGGTACCTATATATTCGGCTAGATCTTTTGGGTCATAGAACGCTGAAGGTCGCTTTTATTATCCATTATTGGCTGGTAATTCCCTAAATATGGCCATAGGTGTAATTTATATCTCGCTGGCCAATATGCACGTGTGCCTTCATATATGAAAAACACGTGTTCCTTCAACGCATTCCAAACCCCGATCTTCGCCGCAAGACTAGAGACTGTATATAGTTAGTACCTCTCTGCGCTACCTTCAATTGTATCAGCTCGATATGTGAAGCAGGCTTGGGTCGAAAGTGCACGACCTGGCTAGTCGGCCCCGCCCGGACTCGCACTGTCTCCCGGCCCCAGGCCATGCGGTGCAGCGTGCTTCCAGGCGTAACCACTGGCGCCATCTATGATCAGCAAGCGAAGTCACTCATTGACAGGGCTGGAGGGACGAGATCCATTTACGTTATAAAGCTTTCAGTGAAAATATTGTGTCACAATAAACACATTTTTTTTGTGAACGAGGGAATGTTTACGAGTGTATGTTTCGTATATGTAAGTTTACGTGTCCAAAAGCGAAGAAGTAGCAATGGCCACGTCTACACTATACACATACCTACCTACCTACCGTTTATACCGTTACCAGAATTCGAGAAAATAGCTTCGTTAAAAGCCATATCTGTCAAGAAGTCAAGCACCAACCGAACTATTACCCTCACTCGTCAGACTGAAACGAAAACGTCTTATAGGATTAGGTACGAGCACTGGCGGTCGCAGCCGCTAGCAAAAGGGGGGGCCAAACTCACACTCGCGGGGCATAACATTTATCCGTCACCGGAGGGTGATCGGCTCATTTTTTACGTCCACGAGGCGCCGCGCAGTTGGCCATACTTATGCTTCATCCATCTCGTTCTTGCGTGGAATCTTTAAGCTCAATCTAAGGCAAAATCACCAGTTCCATTTCTCGTCCCACGGTGTTTCCACCGGTCGGGCCACTGCACCATGGCGACGGATCGGTGTAGCATATACTGGAAGGTCGGGCACGCGGATTCATGACCTTACCACTATAAAACAATTCGGAAAAGTACGTACAGATACTTACCTCTTGCTTTGAACAAGCATGTGAAACCCAGAGAGCATTTTCAGACTATGACATTTACCCATATACGAGTAGTTGTGTGGCGGCGGGGGAGAGTGGGTACACCGACCTCTAGAGACCAAAGGTTCCTGGCTTTCAAAATTGGCATCTGAGGGCCGCGCGCGACTCCTGCGGGCTTCGCAACGGCTCTATTGGGGCTCACTCAAATGCCTAGTCCTCATGCTAAAAAGACTAGCCCTGAGCCCTGAGGACTTCGTCAGTCTCTGCCAGCCCCAGGACCCACAACGGATCATGGGGTCCCGACGTCGAAATATGAGGGAATCTACGCGGGACCATCAGGACGTAAAGTGATCTCGATCAGGACCAACGTAAGGCTGTGCAGGAGTCTGCGTAAGCCCTCTGAGCTTCAGAAGCCCACCCATGTATGTTTTCACTTAGAGGCCAGTTTAAGGCCCTCAGAGACCAGTACAGGGCCTGCAAACTGCAAAGGCCAGTAGTTTGAGACCATCAGAGACCGAGTTGGGCTCTCAGAGGCTAATGTGGGTCCTTACTCATTACAGGCCAACATGGGGCCCTCAGAGGTCAGCGTGGGGCTCTAAAAGACCGGCATGAGCCGTCGTTGGACCCCAGAGGCCAGCAGAGGGCCCTCAAAGGCCAAGATGGGCCTTCCTCAGAGGCCAATGCAGGCCCTTAGAGGCCGGCATCAGGTCTTTAGCAGCCAGTGCGGGGCCCTCATTGGCACCTAAAGGTTCGTCTTGGGACACCAGAGACAGAAATAAGGCCACGAGAGACCGGTGTGGAGACGCTCAGACGCCGGTTGGGGCCCCTGAGGCCGGTTAGGGGCCCTCATAGGCCAGATGTGGGGCTTCAGAGGTCGATGTGGGCTCTTGGCGGCCAACATGGGCGCTTGACCGCCACTGAAGTTCCCTCAGAGGTCAGTGTAGGACACTCAAAGACCGGTGTGGGAGCTATATTAATAGCCGGGAGTGGTTTTTTTAGGCCTCGTGGCGATCGAATAAGGGCCAGGGCCCCATACACCTATGGGGGCCCATCGGTTGTTTGAGGGGGGGGCAATAATATGATAGCCCTCTTTATTGGCCTTTGGGGGGCATGACCCTGATGTCCCCCCCCCCCCGCGACCGCCACTGTGTACACATTACACACAGGCCTCTGAGATTGCATACCTAATAGCTCATGCAAACTCTATGCAGGCCCCGGAGGTCCCACGCTAATCTTTAAGAAACCAAGCCAGCATACGGCGTCACCACCGGGCTTCTGAGGTGCGCAGCATTAACCCATGAGGTCTTACTTTAGCATGTCGAAGAGCCACGCTCATTTGGCAGGGCCCACCCGGCACTGCCGAAGAGGGTTTCATGCCAGCCATTGCTGGGCATACGAGAGCCTCAAGTAAATCCACGCTGATATTCCATATAAGATCCGGCCATACTCGTGAATCGGTGCCAGGACGCTGACCGCAAAATTGACAGAATGCGAAACTGAGCCCACTCCATGAGTGAAATTTACGTCCTTTGATGGCGCAAGAAAGAAAATGAAACATACAAAAAGCTTTCTAGGACCTTTGTTCGATCTGAAAGGTGGGGCCAAAAGATAGTATGGCCCCACCTTTCAGCACCAAAGGGGGGGGCCATGGCCCCCGTGGCCCCCCCCCCCCTGGGACCGCCAGTGGGTACGAGCACGGTCTTCCGACGTGCCGAGCTCGGAGATTGGCAGGATTTGGAGCATGAATGCCAGCCTGATACATTACAAATCCGACAGCAGAGTGGCCGCACCGTGATCTGGGAGCTTCGCTAGGTTTGATTTAAAATGTTACGGCACCTGAAACGAGTAGAAAGGCCCGCGCCAAAATGTGGTCGATATCAATTACCGTAATGCAATTTCATCACATAGAAAGCATAACATTCCGTTAAAGTGCGGTATGAAGTAGCTACTATGGACGTCAAACCGCTTGAGACCCCACTTTTTTGCGATTATTTTAAAATGCGTCAACTCTCGTTGACAATATTCTGGCAATGTGTGTTTCAGACCCTGCCGAAACTTTTATTACTAAGGTATTTTGACGCCAAACGATTATGAAAGGTACTTCTCATTCACTCGTAATGTTAAATTTCACGGAACGAATCTGCTGTTTGGGTAGAGGCTACGCGCTCATGGGGCGGAGCCACGTAATGACGTCAGCCCTAAGCTCCGCCCTACCCCTCCGGCGCTCCTTGCCCGGCGACCGGTCACTCGCGTCCCTCGCTCCATTCAGGCTTGATGGTGGTCGGTAGCTGGTAGCGGCAGCGGGCGCTGGTAGATGGCATTTAGAGCAGATGGCGCTGGTGGCGGGGCTCGAGTGTGGCCGAGCGCAAGCCTCTGCCCGGGCCTGAATTGACCTTAGCATTACGAGTGAATGAGAGGTACCTTCCATAATCGTTTGGCGTCAAAATACCTTAGTAATAAAAGTTTCGGCAGGTTCTGAAACATACATTGCCAGAATATTGTCAACGAAAGTTGACGCATTTAAAAATTATCGCAAAAAAGTGGGGTCTCAAGCGGTTTGACGTTCATAGTAGTAGTGTTTCAAATTGTATCTAAATGCTTGTAGATGGTAGTGCCGCTGCACTTTGTAGCTTCCATGACCAGGTGGTGTCAGTTTTTGCTGACCGGAAACGTCATGATTATGTAGAAACAGATTGCCTGTAAGGCTGTAAGTATTTTCCGCAGCTCACCAAGGATAGAAACAAAATAAACGGGCTTGGGCACCATGTTTACCTTGAGCTACATTCATAAAATAGAGATTTG